ACTGTCATTCACACTATTCCCTTCTAATCCCTTTTATTTCTATAAGGTCTATAATAAAATGTCCTTTCATTCTGATTTTAGCTATTTGAGACTTGTCCTCCATCCCCAAGTCTAGTTGAAGGTTGTCGATTTTGTTGATCTTTTCAAAGAACCAACTTTTGGTTTCATTTATTTTCTCTTCTCTATTTCATTTAGTTTTGCTGTAATCTTTATAATTTCCTTCCTTCTATTTGCTTTGGGTTTAGTTTGCTCTTCTTTTTCTAGTTTCTTATGGTAGGAGGTAAAGCTATTGAGATCTTTTTTCTTATTTAATGTATACATTTATAGTTAAAAATTTGCCTCTTAGCACTACTTTCATTGCATCTCATAAGTTTTGGTATGCTATATTTTCATTTTTGTTCATCTTAAAGTATTTTCCAATTTCCCTTTTGCTTTATTTTTTGTCCCATTGGCTATTTAGGAGTGTGCTGTTTCCACATATTTGTGAATTTTTAAAAATTCCTTCTGTTACTGATTACTTTTGTTTTCTACACCATGGACTCTGGCTCCTTGCCCAGCTGTCCATTTGGTCTCCATACTTAAGACACACCACTGTCCTCTATTGAAACCCTGCTTCTATGCTCACCTTCCTCAGAAAGCTTTATTAGAGTAAGCAGAAGCAGTAACTCTCCATAAGTCCCATCCAGATGTTCTATGCCAAGTGCTATGCCATGCCTAAGACCAAATCCTCCTTCCTTTATACCCAAAGCAAGGAAGAAATGATCAGCAAATCTCAGAATAATTCAGCTAGCCTAGCATCTTAAACAATTAAGCCCATTGTTTATCTACACACCTGGCCCAACTATAGGCCATTACTGACCACTAAAAGTTTGTGCTTATATTTCAGAAGCATTTTGGTATTTTTATCTTGCTGTTCTTACTAACAAATCAACACTTTTGTATAAAAACTACTTCTGATCACATATAAAACATGACTTAAATGAATTCACTTTTTATGGATAAAATGAATAAATAAACAAAAGTATAAATCCAGGATTTGTTAATTGTCCTGCTGAGCACCTACATATGCTAGATGACAATTTTTAGCTATAATATGCTTGAAACATATATAAACTCAGAGTAATAACCCATTTTTCTGGCTGTCATATTTTAGACAACCTGAACATTCTGAAACACATCTGTGAACTCAAAAATGATTCACAAGATGGTTTCAAGTCCTTCGGCCTAACATCTACATTTTTCCTTTCTTAACCTAGGAAACTCCTGCTGTCCTTTAAGACTGAGCTTAAATGTTACTGACCCTGAGGAGCCTTCTCCAAATCAACCTTCAGTCCTGAAAGAACAAACCCTCTCATCTCTGGGTCCTATAGTATTCATCCTCCAATGAACCGTAATTATTCATTTCTGTGTCTCTTCCAAGGCTGTGGAGCTGGCTACCCCAGGGGCAGGCTCAAGGGTATGGTCTCCACTTCAGTTTTTGCAGTTTTTAGTACCTCAATACGCTGACAGCCCACACTAGCTGAATCCAGCCAGGCTGGCATCTGGTGACCCAGACATCACTGCAGTATTTCTGCTTGCCACAACACTAATGTGGCCAGCCCTTTGTTGCTAGCCACTCGGGGAGCCCAGGCACTGGGGAAGCTTTAGGTGGCTATGTAGCCTCCTGAGTCCCAGCATGTGGGACTGTGCTTCTACCTTTCTACGCCGACTCACAGATTTAGTCTGCAGTTGGCCTAAATGCCCTGCCTAGAAGCCGAATCCTCTCTACAATTGGAGGCTGTCCTGACCATGGCCTGATCAACTTAGGCTACCATATGGTAGGTGTTTGATAATTACCTGCTGAATGAATGATCACATTCACTAGCCCATTTCACTTCATTAAAGAGGTGTATGAACCTCTATCTCCCTTTATGGATGAGCCTGTTTGACCTTACATGTACTACTTGAGTATCTGATTTCATTTGGTACTTTTTAGTTTTGTGAGGGTCACTATCAGGAGTGCAAAGACTGAAGACAGATGATCAGATTGTTGGGGCAAAAGGTAGTCACTGATAAGAATGAGGAGTGCCCACAAAGAACAGAGGCAATCACAACAGAGGACACAGGAAAAGCACCAAACAGAGCAGTATATAGCTGTATAGGGCTGTTTAGCTTGGGGGCAAATGGCTCTATACACTTCAAGAGGCCTATGAATATCACTGAGTGTCAAGGCCAAACACTCTGGCAAAATGGTTGGTAAAATTCAGTGAAAGAACAAGGTAAGCCCCACACAATTTTACAGCCCTAGAGGGCATCAATACATCAAAGTTTAAGTTTAGTACCATGTTCAGAACAAGGACCTGAGTCATTGAGAAAAGGTTAAATGATATTCACCACACTCTGTCAACAGGCCACCAAGAACAAATACATTTTAGAAACAATTCTTTCTAAAAATGCAAAAATTCTCATAGATGTCAGAACTTAAAGTCATAAATTTCAGTTATCAAGACAATAGGGGCCACCTTATTCCCCAAGGATGTTAGGAGGCTAAGGCATCAGGTACACATAGACACATATCACTTACCATGAACCAAAGCACTTTATAACACAGGTATTCAGGGACCTGGGGAGGACTTGATTACAGAAGGGTCTTAAGGTAAGAATTTCTGTTGACAGAATCAACTCTGAGACATCAGGTGGTGTCTTTAAGATATCACTCACACCCGAGTTAGCCAGCGCCAAGATAAACACCACCAGATAAACTCCACCCACCAAAATTAAATTGGATTACCTAGATTTCTGATTGGAGCTCAGTTCTCCTATTACTTTGGCTACCATTCCAGTTCCTGATCTGTGGTCCATGTTTCATGATCCTAAAGTTTCAGGGTCCTAAAAGGGCAGGCTTAGCCTTAAAAAGCCATTATAGAAGAGGTTTTCTAATGTGCAAAGAGTTACCTGGGAAGCTAGTAGATCCTGGGCACCACTCTTAGAAAGTCTAATTCAGTGATGTGGGCCCAGGAACCTGCATTTTAACAACAGCCTTAGGTAATTCTGTTGCTGTTAGTTCTTGGGCCACTCTATGAGGAACACTGCATCATAGCAATGAGAAATGTGACAAACACATGGGATAAGCATGGTAATTATAGGACCCCACCCATCCTTTTACTAATTTCAAGTATCTCATGATTTTGCCCAAATCAAACCAGTAAAATATTTTTTTTTTTTTTAAATTTTTTTTTTTTTTGAGACAGAGTCTCGCTTTGTTGCCCAGGCTAGAGTGAGTGCCGTGGCGTCAGCCTAGCTCACAGCAACCTCAAACTCCTGGGCTCGAGTGATCCTTCTGCCTCAGCCTCCCGGGTAGCTGGGACTACAGGCATGCGCTACCATGCCCGGCTAATTTTTTATATATATATCAGTTGGCCAATTAATTTCTTTCTATTTATAGTAGAGACAGGGTCTCACTCTTGCTCAGGCTGGTTTTGAACTCCTGACCTTGAGCAATCCGCCCGCCTCGGCCTCCCAAGAGCTAGGATTACAGGCGTGAGCCACAGCGCCCGGCCAAACCAGTAAAATATTTTAAATTTAATAGCAATCACTGCTATTTTAAATAAGGAATGAAAATACCTATTTGATCAAGAAAACTTCAAATTATCTCTCCAGCAATACCCTTACTATCTGTGAGAAATATCTGTACCTGAATGCTCTGATGCCCAGGAGCCCAGGAAACACGGCAGGCTGTGCACTTAACTGCACAGGCCAAGTTTCTCTGGGCACTTCCCCAAGCAAAACTGGAGGGGGACTTCAGGAAAATCAGTTTAATTGGGAGGATTCTGACGGGGATAGGATGCTTTGGAATCTAAGATGACAGAAGATATTGATGAGCTATTAGATCCAGGAGGCCTGTCTGATATTTGAGATAATGGAGCCTCCATTTGTTTCAGGACGATGCCTTCATTTTTACACCAACATGGTTTATGGCTTGCAGGGGATATATGGACTGACTGATGCAACCATTAAGGATGTTAGAGCCCCATTCTTACTATTATTGTGATATGTGTGTGTGTTTGTTTTTTTCCTTGGAGGATCTTTATTTTTTCTCCCAAATCTCATAACTAGTTATACAGATGTTTAATTGGGAGGAATAATTATGAATTATGGCTTGCTTTTTTCTTTCAAACTTTCCTATCTGAATCATTTATTGCCTTCCTACTCTAATTGCATGTGTTTTAAATATTATAAAATTAAAGTTTAAAAAATAAATATTGCCAGTAGGCAAACCCAACCCCAGAAAAGCTCAGTTTTAAAAAAATGTTAATGTTTCTTGAGAGCCTTGTGTACTATAATATCGTTAATTTACAGAAAAAAAAAAGAATTTAAAGTCAGAATAAAAAGTATAAAAAGTTGGTTGAGAAAGAAATACAGGTAGATTAGCTCTAAGAAGGGACATTGGAACTTGACAGATAAGGATGATTAGAGGTAAGATGACTTAAAATGTGAGAATACTAGTTTCTAGTTATTCTGGGGAAAATGCCTAATTAGGAAATTAAAGCTGAACTATTGACTTACAGCTTTTAAACCCTTTTATCACCCTGGTACGCTTTGGGTGAATAAAGCAAGAAAGGCAAATTTTACCCAGCTATGCTTGTTGTTCAACTCTGACCCTTGCCTACTAAATGACTTTAAATATCTGTTATGGAAAAAAAATGATACCATTTTAATTTCCGGCTCCATCCCCATCTGGCCAAAGAGAGGATCAATTAATATTACTGTGTTTTGTCTTTAGGGCCTCTGATACCCCCGAGGACCATCCTGTGGGACAGTCTGCTTTTGCAGGGTTTCTTGGCCAGAATCAGAAGAGTGGGATTCAGGACAAGGCTAGTTCACGTAACACAGCTCAGAGCCATACAACACAACTTGCTCTGAGGATGTTGGGCATTGTGCTTCATTAGGAAACAAAATATAAGCTTTCCACACCATTAGGAATGACTTTAGGAGTGAAAGCACATAAGACGATGCCTCACCTCATCAACAATGCACTGCAGAAGCTGGAGAGGCTGCAATGGAAAAGAAGAGAGGAAAAAGTATTAGCCTCTATGCAATATCTTTACAGTGGAGTGGAAAGAAAAAATCATTAATGCAATAAAATATAGCAAGATTAATCAACAACAGCAAACTCTTATAAAAACATTGATGCTCAGGATGTTCTATTATTTCTAATGGTACCTAATCTAATACAGGCAGTTAAAGGTTTGCATTTTCTTCAAAATGCAATTTGCTAAGTTTAAAACAAGGCATTCAAGCATGCAAAGGAAGCAGCCATCAGGAAAAAGAAAAGTGAATTTTTTTCTGAACTCATAAAGCTTACCATTAAAGATCCCTGGTTTTTCTGAATCTGAAAAAAGGCAATATGTAATTAGCATGTCATAATCAAAATGACTCACTTGGACACATTATGATCACTGAGAGAAAATTATTGCATTGCTGGTGGCAATTTGTGGGCATGTGTTAACACAATTTACATAATGAAAATACACAAATGTTAATAGCTCGCTTCTCATTTATAGGCGAAAGTCAGCAGAATGTTAATTTCACACAACACTTTTTAGTACCCTCCAGGTTGTATTAGAATAGGGAGAAAAACCATAATCCATTTCAAAAGGCTGTTTACGATTCAGATATAAATAATGTTTTATATTGCTAGATTGTGAACACTGGGCTTAATGTTGCAATCATTGCTAATGTTATGAAGCTCACTCTTTTTAAATTAAAAACCGATTTATTTAAAATTGAAATTAAATCATAGTCAGAAATTAGAATTTTGGATTCCTGCCAATGTCTGCTCACAATCCCCTATTTTGTGAAGAAAACTTTAATTATGTGGTTGAAGTATTTGCCTCTAACTTAGGAGTGAGGTAGAGACTCCACCTTTTCCTTCAGCCTCTTTCCAGGGCAGCAATGCTCTCTGGGAAAATCAAATTTGTGCAAGTTTTACTCTGTTTTTCAGGGAATAAAAGTACATTCCAATAAGAGTGCCTGTTCCTGATCAACATTCAGAAGGCAGGCTGCTCACGCATTTAACACTGATAAACCATATCTCTTAGAAAGTTACTAAAATGTGACACAAAATTAATAAAACATCCACTTAGTCATTAAAGTATTAAACACTTCAATGCCTTACCATCCAACAACAAAAAAAATGCCTACAGTCATTACAAATTCAATGAAAATGGAGTCCCAGGTACTACATTTTCTAAGAGGGAAATTTTCAGGAACAAAATACCACTATTGATGGGTCAATTGTTTTCTGGGATAAATGAGTTCCAACCAGCTGGTAAAATACAGGGAAAATAGTATTATAATAGTCCTTTATATGTTTTTAATGGTGCTTTTAAAAGTTTTTTCCCATACACACACGTTTGATCTGCACAACCACCCTGAGGTTAGCAGGGATAGTCACGTCTATTCTATGATGGGAAAACTGGGTCTGCCAGAGGACAGGGCGCAGGCCCAAGGCCTCAGGGCCAGGCTGTGGCGGGGCTTTTCCAGTGTTCCTTTCCCTCCAACATCTGTATTGTATTTGCCTATGATCGTCACATTATTTAAAAACAACTGGATCTGCACACATTTATACTTGGCATGGTAAAATTGATAAGGTTATCAATTTTGACACTTTGGTTCTTCTCAACTAGACCGACTGAGAGCTTCTCAAAAGCTGCAGCTATGCTTCTGCATTTCTTTTGCATCTATGTGGCTGATCAGCAGACCCTTCCACCTAGTGCTTGAGTGTTTTAAAAAGAGTTCTCCCATGTAGTTCTCAAATGAGCATGGTGCCCTCTCATTGCTGCTCGTGGCTCTTCATCACCTCCTGCCTGATTACTATTAATACTCCCTGAAACCTGCGTCCCAGGTCGCTGGCTCTTAGCCTACATTGATAGTTCCTGCTTAGTGCTGCCCTAAATTATTGCTCCTTTTGGTTCCGCCAGTCAATGAGTACTTCTGGACAAGGCTCCATAGGTAAAGGGTTTTTTTAAAAAATTTCAAAATATTAAGGGGGCACAAAATTTTTTGATACATGGTTACCTTTTATAATGCCTAAGTCAGGGCTTTTAGTGTGCACATTACTCGAATAGTGTTCATTGTACCCAACGGGTTAAGTTTTTACCCCTCCCCCCTTCTTGATCTACATGGAGTATTACTCAGCCATAAAAAGGAATGAAAGAATATCTTCTACAGCAACTTGGATGAAACTGGAGACCATTATCCTAAGCGAAGTATCTCAGGAATGGAAAAACAAACACCACATGTGCTCTCTAATAATCAGGAGCTAATTGATGGGCACACACAGTGCAGGTAAAGATTTATGCTACAAGGGGAGGCAGGGCTGTTAACTACCATACTGGAGTTGAGGATTTTAGTAACAAATCATACCACCTTCAAAAAAAATCTTGAAAAGCCTAGGTAACTTCTCCTACGAGTTATCTATAGCATTCGCTTTTATTTTTTTTTCAAGCACACAAGGATACTCCCCCTGCCGCCACATTCTTAGTAAGATATATCTACTTCAACAGGAGAGCTATTTGTAATGAACAAAGAATTAGAAATCCATTTTTGACATCAAGAGAATGTTTTTCATAAATTTCTAAGAATCAGGGGGATTATAATATTCTCTGAGGAAAATATACAGCAAACATTCGAAATGAGAAGTTTCAAAATGAATTCAGGTATGGATTATGAGACACTGTCCCCAGTAACATATGAGTTGTGTGAATCAAATGAGTTGAGGGGAGAAAATTTCCTCATGAACCGAGATCTCAGAGAAGTTCTCCACCTTGCCCTATTCTGTGGGTTAAAAGCACAGTCTAGGAGAACTTAAAATTGTACTATTTTAATGCTTGCTCTTTAGTACAAGAAAGAGAAAAACAGCAATATCAGAGTCTTTTTTATGATCTTATAACTATACCGTTTTGCTCAGATTTTTAAAGAGAGATATTGTTACCAGTTTTTATTACACAGCTTTGATAGCAACATATTATATGAAATCATCTTCATAAATTTTGTATTAAGGTAGCAGCGCCAGTACCTGAAATTGATTCGAAATGTTTAAGATACTCAATTACTTTTTAACAGTGTTACACAATGCAGTGACTTATATCCTCTATTTCACAAGAATTTGATGATGTAACATCATTGTAATTGATTCATTTTCTCAATTAAATAAAGCTACTGTGCCTTTCTTTATATGAAAGCCACATAGACTATAGAGTTAGATGTATTATCTCCTTTCTCTGTCTCAGATATATTGCCTCAAAGGCTGTATTCTGTTCCTCCGTTAATTTCACCAGAAAATTTAATGCCACAGTCATATTTTTCAAGTTCTGAACTGCCATGTACTCGACTGTATTTATATTAGGCATATTTTTCACTGCTAAACTCTTTGTTGTTTACCTTTTTCAAGATCACGTTACCGTATAGGCGCAGCAGCCATAAAACAATTCCAAACAAAGTCAACCTCCAGTCATTGCCTCTGCTTTTGCACACAGTTCATGAAAAAGTGAAGCCCCTAGTTTTATAGCACATTAAAAGTGGTACTAAGGGTACTCAATATAAAATGTTAGCTTTGCAAACGCCTATCTTTATTCTGGGTCTGCCTTCCAAATGCTTGGCCGTGACAGCAGAGCTCAGAGGAACACAATAATATTGTTAGGGCTGATGTACTGCCTGCCCCTCACAACATATGAAATGCTGTTTATAACTAACTTGTCCAAGCCCACATTCCTGCTTATACATTTTGCTTGTATTGAATGTTTTCTATGTCTAACTAGTACTTTGGGACAATGAACAGAACAATAATTGCTCCAGTCAAATACTTTGCTAATCAGTCTCTAGAACCAGTAGGATTTTGATATACTAATTATAAATGAACCTCTTCCCTCTTCTGGGCATAGCTTGTTTTCTTTCATCAGCCATTATATCTAAGATTTAAAACCACACTAACAGGGGATAGTTATACTCCATTCTGATGTAAGACAGATCATATGTGTTTCAACAGGGAAGGATGACTTCATAAAAGGCAGCCACAAGTATTAGTTAGGTCTTGGTGTTATTATAGTAACATTTGTCAAATATTTTCTTGCAAGGACCAGTTAGCAATCAGAAAACTCCTGTAACATGACCTATGACTATGAAAGATGATCCTGGAAAAGAAATTGCCAATGCAAAAGTTGGCTTGTAGGACCTGAACTATTTAGTCACTGACTACAGTGAGAAAAAGCAATTTTGGAAGTCTCACTTTATGCCTCTCTCTCTATAGAAGTACTTTTTACATACAGTAGTAAAACAGACCTTGCTACCAGATCTTTTACATTATATTCAGAGGTACAATCAAAAAACGAAAATGAATTCACCTATGTAACTTAGAGAAGACACCAGCTATAGCTTTTATTTTCTCCTTTACTCTCTGAAATTATGGCTTGCCCTGCAGCTCTTGTCTGGGAGATTTATGTGTGACCTAGGTCAGATCTTCCAATATCAGTTGATAAATTTTCCCTTTACATATTTACTGCTTTTCAAGCTTGTGTTATTTTTTTCTTCAATAGAAAGAAGAAATATAAAATTAAATTATATGCTTAAAATTTTTAAAGAATGGTGTTTTCATTTGTTGTGCTACTGGCATCATATTCTAGCTTTCATTGTTGAACTCTTTACTCTTTTTTTTTTTAGCTTCAGATTTTACAGATTGTAGTTATTTTGCAAAGACTCTTTTTAAAAATCAGATGCATTAAACTATAACCCTGAATAAATATAAACAAAGATTATGGAAAACTGAAACTTCCATATTCTAAATGAAGAATTGTGACCTGAAGAATTTTTGAAATGAAAGGGACCTCAGAAATGATCTAGTTCAATCTACTCACTTTACTTTTAGGGAAACTGAGGCTCACAGGGGAGCAGTGCTCAAGGTCATACAGCTGACTCAGGAGGCTACCTGCTGCGGGGAAAATACATGAAGTTGGGAGTCAGAAAGACCCCTGGAATTCCAGTCAGATCCACATGCCTTCAGAATCCCCCTCCCTTCACTGGGGCTCAGGCATCTTGTCTACAAAATGAAGAAAGGAGCTAGAGGAGCCCAAAGATTCCTTGAAGGCAGAGCTTCCCATTCTTTCCTATTCGAGGGAGAAATGGTACTGGCATTCAATCTAATTGTATCTGGCACTATGGTGGGTGCTAAAACTTAGGGACACACCACCTCCATCCTGTTATAACTTGCAAAAACAGTGTCCAAGTCTCAAAGAGCTTTCAATGAGAAAAACAAAATCCACTAACTTAAAGGGTTCCCAAGCAACTGTCTTTTTTAAAAAAGAGGAATAGGCCGGGCGCGGTGGCTCACGCCTG